GGGGGTCCCGGGCAGGGGAGGGGCGTGGGCGGGGCTTCACGGACCCCTGGCCTCCGGCTGGAAGGGCTCGGCCCGCCTGTGCACCAGCGGGGACGCGGGTGCTGCAGAGCTGGGAGGTGATCTGCGAGGCGGTGGTGTCACCTAAGCTAGGGGCCTAAAGGTCAGAGTGCATAAAACCAGACCCTTGGGGTGGCTGGGAGCTTGCGAGGCGCACCCTCCCTTCTAGTGCCCTGCTGCTCCCCCTAGGGGCTCTAAGCCCAAGAGCCCTTCAGTGTGGGTACTAAGCTTATTCCTATTCTAAAACAGAAGACAAAGAGAGGAGGAAAGTACCAGAAAACCCACCCCCCTGCACACTGCACACATCATGTTATACAGCCTACAGCCGGGTGGGCCTTCAGGCAGAGCCCCTTGGGGCCAGGGCTCCTGCAGGGTGCCTGTGTCTTCATGCCAAGTGGGCACAGGATGCTCCTTCCAGCCCCAGCTCCTATGTGTGCTAAGTCCGGGGCCTCTTCCGGTGTCTGTGCCTGCCTTTCCACCTTGTTCCTTACCCTGGCCTGCTTCCAAGCCAGGCCTGAGGAATTGAAGGGACAAATCAGGTTCCCAGCAAAAGGCTGTGTGCACGTTTGGTGGGGAGACTTAGGCCACCCGGAGAAAGCAAACCCAATGCTCATTTCTCCTGGCTGCTGGGTGGCAGCACTGTGGGAGGCACCCAGGATGCAGGGATCCAGGCACGGGCCCTGCAAGACAGTAAACAACTCACCAGCCAACCCTGGGGACAGGGTGTGCCGAGTACTTTGGGAGACAGGCCCCAGAAGAGGACCAGAGTTGTTCTTGTAACAAATGGCTGGACTTCAAACATGTTCCTCCCTACCCCTGCCTTGTCCCCATGTCCCCATCCCCATTCTGTCCCCAGCTACATGCCTCTGTCCTTTTGAATCCTCCTTCCAACTGCCTTCTGCTTGGGAACCCCAGCCCCTCCCTCCCATTCTAGAACTTGCGGGAAGGATGTTAGGGTCTTGCAGGAAGACTTGAAGGAGGATGGGGCTCCAGAACATGGGACTGAGCCTGGGCAGGCTTCCTCCTCCAGAGGAAGTATTGGGGGGCTGTGGAGTGTTAGGGAGGTGGGTGGGCCAAAGGGGAGTGGCTCCTAGAACAGGAACTGAAAGTATCTGCCAGAAGTCAGGGTTTACCTGTTAAGGACCAGGAGATCTCAGGGGTCTCTCCCCCTTTTCGTTGAACATGTGGAGGGGGTCTGGGCTGGGGACCTACCTTTGCTGATGCCTATCTGTCCTCCCTTCTCCCCCATCCACCTTCTCCCACTTCATTGTCATCTTTGCATCTGTCTTTGGACTCTCTCTGGGTGCCATCCTACCCATCTGTGTCTTTTTTGCTTCCTGGGCCTCCATCCCTGGCTCTCATCCTCTGCCCTGGGGGCTGTCTCTGCACTTTCCTGCATTGGCTTTCTGGTCCCTTTTCTGACATCATGACGCCCTCTGGGTCGCTCTGTGTTCATCTGTGGCCCCTGGCTCCCATCTCGGCCTTTTGTTTGTTCCCCATCCCTGTGTCCCTGCCTCTGTGCCTCCATCCTGCTTCTATTTTTCCCTCTCACCTCCTGCTCATCCTGGCCCCTCCCTGCCCATTTGAGCAGCAGCGTCCCATCCAGCCCTCTTTCACCAAGTCCCTCTGCCGTGAGTCCCACTGGAAGTGCCTCCTGCTGTCGCTGCTCATGTACGGCTGCCTGGGGGCAGTGGCCTGGTGCCACGTCACCACAGTGACCCGCCTCACCTTCAGCAGCGCCTACCAGGGCAACAGCCTCATGTACCACGACAGCCCCTGCTCCAATGGCTACGTCTACATCCCCCTGGCTTTCCTGCTCATGCTGTATGCTGTCTACCTGGTGGAGTGTTGGCACTGCCAGGCCCGCCATGAGCTGCAGCACCGCGTGGATGTGAGCAGCGTGCGGGAGCGTGTGGGCCGCATGCAGCAGGCCACACCCTGCATTTGGTGGAAGGCCATCAGCTACCACTACGTCCGCCGTACCCGCCAGGTCACCAGGTACCGCAATGGAGACGCTTATACCACCACCCAGGTGAGTGGCCACTTGAGATGGGAAAGAACCAGGTTGTGGGGCAGGAGGTCAGCAATAAGCTCACAGCAGCAGACCCAGAGCCATGCAATCAGGACTTCACATGTGTGACATTTAACCCTCATAACAACTGTATGAGATAAGAAGTGCCCATTTTACAGATGAGAAAACTGAAGCATTGGAGAGGTTAAGTATTGTCCAAGGTCAAGTTGCTAGCATGTGGAGGTGACGGCTCTGAGTGTAGGCTGTTCAGGGCTGAAAGGCTCACACCACAGCATGTGTACACCTATTGGATGAGGTAGTGGTCATCTGGTTCCCTTTCACAGGTAAGGAGACCTAGGCTCAGAGACTTGCCCAAGGTCTGTAGTGCCTGCGTGGCTGTGTTAGACTCAAACCCAGATCCTAGAGGCCCATCCCAGTGTCCCCGAGGAGGTGGATGTGGGGAGCCCCCAGAGCCATCAGCACTTCCAGTATTAGATCTGCTGGATCCTGGAGGAGGAGATGTTGCCAGAGGCAGTGGCCTCCTGTTCTGTGGGCAAAATGTGTGGCTGTGCAGGCAACCAAGGCCTTCACACAGGAGGCAGGAGAGGAGGGCTCCTTTGGAGCCAACGTCCACTTGGAAATACACTGGTCAGAGCGCAGAAGGGGGCCTGTGCTGGTTGAGGAGCAGTGGGACAACACAGGTAGACATGGCCAAGGGTCAGGCCAGCCAGAGGGGAGGTTGTAGCCAGGGCCAACCCCAGGAGAAACAGCTTCTTGAAAATGAGCATGCTCAGATAGGGCTGGGTTCCCACCCATCTCATTTTTTTTTTCTTCCCCCTAAGGGGATTGGATTTAGGACCCAGAGCTTGCCAGGCAAGTGCTTATTCTGCTGAGCTATCTTCCTGCAACCCCATCACATTTTTAAGGCATTGGTTAAACTTCTGGTCTCAGTTGTAAAGTAGATAGTGACATCTCGTGGGGCTCCAGCGGGTACCCAGAGTGGGACAGACTCGGGCTTATGATCAGGCAGGAAAAGCAGAACGGGGGTGGGCTGGGGTGGACAGAGACCCCAGACCCCTCGCCTGCAGGTGTACCATGAGCGCGTCAACACGCATGTGGCTGAGGCTGAGTTCGACTACGCCCGTTGCGGCGTCCGGGATGTGTCCAAGGCGCTGGTGGGGTTGGAGGGTGCGCCAGCCACACGGCTGCGATTCACCAAGTGCTTCAGCTTCGCCAGTGTGGAGGCGGAGAACACGTACCTGTGCCAGCGCGCTCGCTTCTTCGCGGAGAACGAGGGCCTGGACGATTACATGGAGGCGCGCGAAGGCATGCACCTGAAGAACGTGGACTTCCGAGAGTTCATGGTGGCCTTTCCGGACCCGGCGCGGCCACCCTGGTACGCGTGCTCGTCGGCCTTCTGGGCTGCGGCTCTACTTACGCTGTCATGGCCGCTCCGCGTGCTGTCCGAGTACCGCACGGCCTACGCGCACTACCACGTGGAGAAGCTCTTTGGTCTCGAGGGCCCGGGCCCGGGCTCGGCGGGCGGCCTGAGCCCTGGCGACGAGCTGCTGCCCCCGCTGGCGCACCGTCTGCCGCGCGTGGACACGGTGGACAGCACGGAGCTCGAGTGGCACATACGCTCCAACCAGCAGCTCGTGCCCAGCTACTCAGAGGCGGTGCTCATGGATCTGGCGGGCCGCAGTGCGCACGCCCGGGGCTTCGCGCCCTCCTGTCGCTACGGCGGTGTGGGTGGCCCGGGCGCGGCCCCGCTGCGCCGCAGCTGCGAGCAGTGCCAGCGCGTGGCCAGCAGCTCCTCCATCTTCTCGCGCAGCGCGCTCAGCATCTGCGCCAGCCCGCGCGCGGCCGCAGGGTCCGGCGGGGGCGTGGGGGGCGCGGGCAGCCGCTTTTCACTGGGCCGCCTCTACGGCTCGCGGCGCAGCTGCCTGTGGCGCAGTCGCAGCGGCAGTGTCAACGAGGCCAGCTGCCCCACGGAGCAGACGCGTCTGTCCAGCCAGGCCAGCATGGGGGACGACGAGGACGAGGACGAGGAGGAGGCTGGGCCGCCGCCGCCCTACCACGATGCGCTCTATTTCCCCGTCCTCATTGTGCACCGGCAGGAGGGGTGCCTGGGCCACAGCCACCGGCCTCTGCACCGCCACGGCTCCTGCGTGGAGACCTCACTGTGACCCGGGACCCGGATGGGTCCGTGCGCCCCTCACTGGACAGTGTGCCCCGCGTGGAATCAGGGAGTGCGGGTGTCACTCAAGCTGTGCGGGGAAGGAACGGGACAGGAGGGTGTTGGAGAGACACCATGGGGCCCAAAGCCACCTGTCCTGGATAGACGGCTGGGGGGCGTGGCTCCCCAGAACCCCACCCACTCCCACAGTTTATGAAGGCACGACCCCGCCGCACATGAGAGAGTTTGAGCAGCCTTCTGGTGGCCTGACTGTTAGTGGCAACTAAGCAGGGAGTGGGGGGACCCGGGCTGAGCCTCCTCTGGAGGGTGCATTGCCCTCTGGCAGCTGAGTGGTGTGGAGCTATAGCAAGGACTCATGGGACTTTCCTGACTCTTAGGACTTCTCTTGGGAACAGCAGGGATGGCTTCCACCCAGCTGATACATTCAGTGGCTCCGAGGCCAGGGCCAGATGACAGCCCCAGCACTGTCCCCACACTATGGCAATGTGGCTGTTCTCTTCTTAGCATTGGCCCTAGAGCTTGGGGTTTCCTTTCTCCCTCTTCCTGCACTGTTGTTTGTCACTGGGCCCCAGGGGCAGGTCCTGAGGGACTGTTCCCAACACCAATGTCACTAACCTCTATCCTGGGACAGGAAGCCTCAATCTTTTCTGGAAACTCAGCAGCTTCCCCTTTGGGTTCTGGTGGGTTCTGGTACAGCTAGCGTTAAAGCTGGCCAGCATGAATGATCCATGAGATGCACCTGGATGAGAGGTGGGCACTGGGACACAGCCGGCAGCAGAGGGTGGAGAGAGGACCTCTCAGTGGGGGCTCTTGCCTCTCAGACCTGTGGGGAGGAGTGGCAGTCTTGCCCTTCACCGTTACCTCCGTGGGCTGAGGACCAGGTCACTGGCCCAAACTAGAGGGATACTTGATTCCAGTGGCAGGGTTGGAGGCAGGAATTATCCAACCTCGCCACACTTCTCCATCTCCCCGAACCCAGAGTGGAAGCCCTACCGTGTGTCCCAGGGTCTTCAGAGGGACACCTTCCATTGCGGGGGCGTTGGCCCTGTACTGTTCCCCAGAGCTCCATCTTGACGTTTCTCCCCATGCTTCCCACCACCTTCCTGATGTGCTTGGTGTGCATGTCTTTGTACAGCCCTTCGCCGTCCCAGCTGCCCGGCTCCTTTCCCAGCAGGCTTAGTGCCTGGGGTCCAGGCTCACATCTCAGCCTAGAGAAGATGACTTTGGGCACCCAGACACTGTGCCCCTGATGCTTCTTGCTTCTCTGCTGCCATCAGAGCTCTGTTGTTGGCCTTTCCTGGCCACTTCCTGTTGGGCCTCCCCCTGCCCAGCCAGGGCTGTACCTGCTTGGGGATGTGGCCTCCACCTATGCAACATCACCTCCAACTCCTGCTGTCCTCAGGAGGACATGAGATGGGGCAGGTTGTGGGGGACACGGTAGCCTGTGGATCATTGGGGGGTGGGCTTCCCAGGCACACAGAGATGGGTAAGGGAGGAGAGGCCAGAGAGGGAGTGGTTTGGGCAGAAGGGCACAACTGTACCTGCCTGCAAGCTCACAAACCCACTGGGACCCTGAGTCTGTGCTCCTCAGGGCCTGGCAGTGGGAACACCCCTCTCGGGAGGTGCAGTGGGTCCCCATTATTATTTCACCTGTACCAACCATTTCTGCTAAGTGTGCTCACCCAGTCAGCCTTGCCTCCCACATACGCACAGACTTAGAGAGAAACTGATTCTTTGGTCTATTTTCTTGGTAGCTTTTATTGATTGCCAGGGAAAACGAAAACCAGAAAATTAATTAATCTCTAAAATTAAACTTTACACTGAATGTTCTTGTTTCTCTAATTAGAGCCTCTGCTAGCAGCGGTGGCCGCACACACACACACACCCTCACACTTACACGTTTGCACTCTGAAACTGTTTGAGGGTGTCAGGCACGCAGGACTCGAGGCCACCCAGACAGGTACAAGAGTGTTACCCCCCTCCAAGCCCCTGTGGTGCTCTGTTCAGTGTCTGCTTGTTGGAAGGGGTCCCTGGAGAGTGGGCACCCCTGGGCTGTGGTTGAGATTTGTGGCTCAGCCTTTGGGGACCTGGGCCTGATGGTTGGGCATCCTGGCTAACATGGATTCCTGTGGGTGTGGCCAAGCTGAGCAGCTTCAGAGTGACAGGGACTCAGTCAGGGCACCTGGAAGGCTTCCCGTGTCTGGGGACAAGGGCTGTCAGGCGAGCTGGGCCTGGTCGGGAGGAGACAGGTCTCTGTTTATTGGGTGCATCACACTGTGGCCTTTCTGTCGTGGATTTCCAAGCGCACAGATTGTACAAATCTAACTGGTGGATAATAAAGTTGCGATGACCCACCGACATCCCCTCTGGCGTGGCACTTCTTCCTCCCTCCAGCAAGGGTGTCACTACATTTCCTCAGCTGCTACCATCATGACTTCCTCCCTGCTCCCCACCTTCCCAAGTGGGAAGTGGGGATTAGCAGGTGGTACGGCCTGCAGAATTCGGTCGTGTAAAGCAGAGTTGGGCATCAGGGAGATGATATGCTTAGGGGTGAGTGTGGAAGGAAGAGTCTGGCTTTGCTGTGACCATGGTGTGTGTGTGTGTGTGTGTGTGCGCGCGCGCGTGCGCACACGTATACATGTATGCACATGTATGAAGGTTAAAGACCCCATCAGCAGTCTGGATGGTGAGAAGATGGAGGAGAATCACCCACATGGGCAGCATGTGTGAGAGTTAGGCATGTACGATCCCTTGGGGTCCTCTCCATCTGCCGAATTCCTAGAAGAAATTGGTCATTTTGGGGTCTAATGACACCCTTTTCTGGGCCTCACAGCTGGGTCTGTGCTTTCCTCCCCTACTAGGACCTTCCTTGCCTTATGTCTGTATACATTCAACCCTTGATCGCTCCCTCTGATAGTGTTTGGGTCCCCTCTCCGCTCCCTCTGGACTGATGTGACCCTTAGCAGCAGAGTATGTGGCAAGGGCAGGGCATGAAGGACAGGGCTGGAGGGATGATCCCTGCCCAGTCACTGGCTCTGGCCCCAACTGCACCTTATGCCACAAGTTTCCCAGGGCCATTGACAGTGACGGGTAGCACAAAGTGGCCGGGATTCAAGGCCCGCTGGCGGGCAGCTTCCCGGTTGGCATGGAGGGCCTGGCTGATGAGGTACTCGCTCTCCTGGGTGACATCTGACAGGCGCAAGTCGAATTCCAAGAGGGTCTTGTTGTCTGCCACACCCTCCAGAAGCTGCTTCCCGCCATCCTGGGAGGGCAGAAGGAAAAAGGTCCTGGGACATCATGGTCCAGGAGATAGGCACACACACAGGTTATGCACATAGGGCTGTGGCTGGGTAGCTGCTGTTAGCTGCTGCACACTGACTACTCCTGCTCACACAGGCAGCCACGGTCGAGACCTGCTACAGTGGCTGTCCACCCCAGTGATGGTGATCTCGATCCTCTGCTCCTACCCGGGCCTGGGGCCAAGTCTGTCTGGGGGTGGGGGAGGAGGAGCTCAGAAGAGCCAACTCTCGGCTTCTATCCACCCTGATCAGAGCACAGGGAGGAGCAGCCCCGCTCTGCCTGCTGCCAGGCAAGACGCCAAATGGCAGCATCTCCCCGGAGCAGGAGAGGAGGCCTGGAGAGGCTGTAGCCATGGACCAGCGGGCAGAGCACAGGATGGTCCTGCTGTAGGACCGCACCCCGGGGCTTCTGCTCATGCGAGGACGGAGTGTGCCCCCGCATCCTGGCCTGTAGCAGGAGTACCCCTGTGGGAATGGCAGAGGGAGGCTACATGGCAGCCATTTGGGGGCCTAACTGGAGCACACAGGGGCACCCCTGCAATCCCCTACCCAAGCTCTTCTGAGGGCCAGGTCAGTCTGATGACCTCCACATGGGAAGTGGACTGCTGCTGTTCTATGGATGAACCTCACCTGTGTGTTGGCAAGAAAATGTAATGGGTCATGGAAGCATTTAAAAAATAAATAGAAAAAAAATGAATAGAGTAGAACTTACAGGAAAACATCAGGCCAGGTATGGTGGCACATGCCTATAATCCCAGGGCTTTGGGAGGCTGAGGCAGGAGGGTCACTCTGAGTTTGAGGCCAGCCTGGCTACATAGTGAATTTGAGGCCAGCCTGGGCTACAGAGTGAGACACTCTTAAAACAAAACAAAACAAAAAAGGAAAGAAAAGAAAATAAAAAGAAGTAAACAGTCTAAATCACAAGCAGAAAAAGTAGATTTCAATTATATATATATATATATATATATATATATATTCCTCTCTACTGCAGAAGTGGAAATTCACACCCTGAGCCCTTTTAAGAAGTTTGATCCTAGCTGGGGAGATATCTTAGCAGTCTAAGTGCAAGGACCTGGCTGAGACAGGAGGATCACTACTAGTTTGAACTGTGTAGTGAGACCCTGTAACAAACAAACAAATAAATAAATATTTTTAGAAAATATTTTTTTAAAAAGAAGTTTGATCCCCAGCACCACACACACAAAAAAGCTCCTATTTTAATAGGTAACTGTGAAGAAAAAGAGAAAGGAGCAGATGTTGTGTACACTGCTGGGTACCCAACATAGGTGACACCCAAGGGCCCCACAGCCCACCCACCCCTGCTCCGGGATGTGGCTCACCGGCCCAATGTGGTTACAGGACAGGTTGATGCTGGTGAGCGTGGTGTTCACTGAGAGGACCTGGGACAGGAGCGTGGCTGTGGGCTCAGACAGCTCATTACCACCCAGGTGCAGGGTGGTGAGGCACGCATTGGACAGCAGGGCGTGTGCTAAGGCCTGGCCACCCTCGTCCTCGATGCAGTTGAGGCGTAGATTGAGGGAGAGAAGGCAGGTGTTGTGCTCCAGGGCGTGAGCCAGTGCCTGGGCCCCAGGCGCACGCACCCGGTTGTTGGCCAGGTTGAGCACACGCAGCCGGCTGTGGCTGAGCAGTTTGGCAGCACCGCGTGCCCCGCGGTCCCCAATGAGGTTGTGTGATAGGTCCAGCTCCTCGAGGGTCGGGTGGTCGAGCAGACTGCGGATCAGAATGCGGGCCTTCTCTTCATCCACGTGGCTGCGGGTCAGCCTGAAGATCTGCGGGTGGGCAGAGGGTGACTGGCCTGCTGCCTGTACACCTGTGGTTGGTGGCCACCTGGGGGGGCAGCCCACCCTGTGACACAGCATTGGTGGCTGTGGGAAGAGGCTGCTACTGATCGAGTGGTCACTATAGGTGGGCACGCTGCCAGCACCTTTTACAACCACTTCCCTTGTGGCCAGCCGCTTCTTGGTGGGGTTGGCACATTCTCTCCACTCTGGGGAAAGAGTAGCAGCACCAAGAGTTGCAGGTTTGGAATTCAAGTTTGTGCGGTGCCCCCAGCCTCCTGCTGCTTCCTCCCTTCCGCTGGCTGATGAGATCTGTCTCTGTCTCTGCCTCTGTCTTTCATGGTACCAAGGAATGAACCCAGGGCCTCTGCACTGAGCTGCATCCTCAGCAATTTTAAATAAAAAAAAAAATTCTTTTGAAAGACAAAGTCACTACATAGCCTTGGCTAGACTGGAACTTTGGATCCTCCTGTCTCAGCCTCTCAAGTGTGCATTGTCATGCCTGCCTTGTGAGTTTCTTTTTTAGGCAAATCCAAAGCCTTCACCTATTCCTTCTCGGCTCTCTGCCTTCACAGTCGAACTCTTGGCAAAGCTGATCACAGCCCCCTCCTCTTTTCTTCGTGTCTTGGCCCCCAGCCCTGGCACTCCACTGTAGTTCCTCCAGGAACTCCCAGGCTTGCTAAGTCAGCCCCCGGTGCCAGGCACCCAACATCACTCCTGCTGCTTGGAACGCACCCTTCACGGCTCAGGCACACGATGCCAGGTCCCTTCCCTCCAGCCTCACGTTTTTGGTAGGCCACTGCCAGTGTCTCCTGACCCTCTTCTGGCTCCCTTGGGAGCACCATGCGGAGTCCACACTCCAGCAGCTGGCACCTGTTCCTATGCTTTGTTCAGACCTCCCCCAAGAGCTGCAGCTCCTCTCTGATACGAGGATGCTGCGCCAGGACACCTCATGCCAAAGCCCAGTCCTCTTCTCATCATCGCCCGCATCTTGCCAGTGGGCCCTCCAACCATCTGGTCTCCTGGGAAGGCTTCTAGCTCCTTCCTTCACTTCCACACCCTCCTTATGCCAGCAAGGCTATGGATGCAGTTGCTCAAGCTCCTCTCCTCAACTCTTTCTCTTTCCCTCTCTGCAGGCCAAGCCAAAGTGCCCCAAATCCTTGCTTTAGTCTCCATTTGGCAGGGGACTCCTGAGGGACCCACCACATCTGCAACCCCACGACACAACCCACACCTCAGGCCTTGCACGGGGCTGTGGTTTGGATGCAGTGGAGTCCCCGCAGGCACTGAGCTATGCAGACCTCTGTCTGCCAGTGTCTTGAGCTAAACACCCCTCTTTTCTTTACAAAATTCCCAGCCTTGGCTACTTTGTGATAGCAACAGAAAATGGATAAATTCAGATGGTGCCTGGAGCTCCTCAAGATAAAGCCAGACTCCTGACGAGGCCTCCTTTCTCCCACACAGCCTGGCTATCTGCCCTGGATGTGCTGCTCCCCACTGGAATGGCTTCCCACTTTCCTTGTCTACCCCGACTCCTCCTCCTGATCTCTTCACAGTGACTTTTGCTCCAGAAAGTCCTCTCTGGCAAGGTCAAATGCTCCTTTTGTAATTGCACATGAGAATGTCTTATCTTCGTGGTGCACACTTGTAATCCCCGAGGGAAGCTGAGACAGGAGGATTACAAGTTCAAGCCCAGCCTCAACAACATAATGACTTAGTGAGACCTATCTTAAAAACAAAAAGCAGGGGCTGGGGAGGTGGCTCAGTAGAATAAGCGCTTCCCTGGCAAGCACAAGGGCCTGAGTTCAATCCCCGAAAAAAAAAAAAAAAAAAAAAAAGGGCTGGGGAGGTAGCTTTGGATACACATACTCTCACACGTTTTTTCTTTATAGCATTCATTCCAATTAAGGATGTAGGAAACAATACAGGATGCCCAGGCTGGAGGTGAGGCTCCGCAATGCAAAACAAACACTGCCCTAAACCTAGGGCCCTGCTTAAATTTAAATTTCACACAGACAAATGTGTCCCATGTGATATTTGGGTCATACTTCTACAAAATCATTTGCTATTTATCTGAAATGTAAAGTTAACTGTGCACCCTGTGTTTCAGCTGCAGCGTCCGCACCCCCACCCCCTTCCAGCTTGAGGCAATCAGCGCCTTTTATCCTGGCACTGTCAGCTGCAGAGGCCGCCCAGGGTGACTGTCAGCTCCTGGCTGCCTCTTCAGCACCCAGGACAGGGCCCAGGGTACAGATGTTTGTTGCTGACTAAGCAGGCTCAGGGTTCGGAATGCAGCAACAACGTCCCAAACCAAAACCAGCTCCGTCAATGAATGGAAACTGGAAACTGGAGGAAGGTGATAGCAAGGGGAGGGAGACGAGGGGATAGAGAACGCGGGGAGGGTACCTTGAGTGTGTGACAGGCTTTGATGGTGGCCGCCAGGGAGTGGCAGTCTTGGTAGGTGAAGAGGAAGAGCTTCCACTCGAAGTTCATGCCACAATCCTTGACGCCGTACACCAGGTCTAGCTCCTCCAGCTGGCTCAGGCCTGCCACCAGCGGGCCCAGCGCATAGTGGTCAGCGCTGGATTCCTCGGCTTCCCCCTCACTGCCTGAGTCCGACTGCTCTCCTGCCGTGCGGGGTGTGGGTGGCAGGTGCACGGGCGGGAGGAGCTGGTCCACGCGGAGGCTGTGAACAAAGTCCTTGCAAAGGGGCAGCAAGTCGAGGATGGTGTTGGGGTCTGTGGTGCCAGGAATGAAGTGGCGCAGCAGCCCCTCCAGGTGCCTCTCGAAGAACAGGTGCTTCCAGCTACCGCCGTGCCGGGACACGTGGCACACAGGCCAGCGCTGCAGGCAGCAGCGGCGCCAGTAGCCCTCGTCTTCAATGAGGTTGGCAGTCACAGCCAGCGGTAGGTCCGGGGGCAGGTGGCTCAGGACCTTCTGCTGGTATTCTGGGGGCAGCTGTTTCAGGATCGGGTTTACTTGGGGAGCAGAGGAGAGAAAACAGGAGTCACAGCTCTGGGGACAACATAGCACCCTGTTTCAGAGATGTTTCTGCAGCTGGACAGGCAGTGTCTGGCCTTGGGGAGGATCCGACTGTGGAGGCTCCTGGGTTGTTATCTCCTCTGATGGGGGAGACAGAGCCTCCTAGCCTGATGTCATTCATTCATTTCAAACAAGTGCATCTGGAGCCAGGCATGGCGGTGCACACTACTAACCTCAGCACTCAAGAGGCTGAGGTAGAAGCATCTCTATGAGTTTGAAGCCAGCCTGAGCTACATAGTGAGATCCTGTCTTAAAATCAAAACCAAAACAAACAACAACAAGAAAACAAGTGTATCTGTCTGACACTTCTGTGTGCAGGACACCGCAGAGAGGGCTGAGCAGAGGGCAGGTGGCCCTGATCTCTGGCTCCTCACATACCAGCCAGTAGAGACAGAAAAAAAAAGAAAGAAAGAAAGAAA